TCCTGTATATTCTCCTCACCTCGCAGTTATTTCATCTCTGACTTCAGATACTCTCTTGTTAACTTCTTCTAAGCGAACAGCTAATGTCTCATCAATTTTAGAGGCAGATTTTTCTACTACATCTTCAATCTTTGGAGGTTTTGGAGAAATAAATTTTCCATCAAAGTGCTGTAGTTGTCCAGTATCCTTTAAATTTCAGAAGAACTCAAAGAATTCGCCTCACTGAATGCCTTTCTTTTTGATTATTTCTTCACCTTTATCATCAAATTCCTTCTCTTCCTTTAGTATTTTCTGTGTCTCAAAATTAGTAATAAATCTACTTCAGAAGTCTATTGCATTAGGGATAGGAGTTCCATCAAGCTTCTTACCAAGAAAATAAGTCTCAAAAGATGGCATGTTAAATCTATTAACTCACTTATTGTCCTCCTTATTAAGAACTGGGCTTTCTATTCAATGAGAGGGAAATTGACTAGTTATCCCCGCTTTTCTCGAGTACCTCATAAAATCTCCTAAGGTTCAACTAAAATCTAAGGGATTGCTTAATCGACCAGGGCGATATACTGCACGGGCAATCATATCTAGATGGTTAGTGGCAAATATTCAAAGGTTTTCAGGTTGTTTATCTTTACTAATTTGCTCCATACATTCTTTAAGAAACACCAAGTAAGTAGCATCAAAGATCATTGCTGTTCTACTCACTAAGTCTGCCTCATCAACAAAAAGAATATAACGAACTTCGCCATTGGTTTCTCGTTTAAAGCCAAAATCATTTACTAAGGTATGATCAATATCACAAAGAGTAAGAATAAATTTATCAAGAGGAGCAATTGAAAGATTAGAATCATTTTTAGTAGGACTCAAAGTAGATCCTTTTACTTCTACTAATGGATAACAATCAGTTTCATAAGTTAACTTTCTAACTATAGAGGTTTTTCCAGTTCCTTCAGTGCCAAAAAAAAGAGCGTTATTATCTTTCTTACTTGAATCCGGATTGCCTCTGCGGGGATTTGAATATACTTTATCATATCAATCTTGAATATCATCACTGAATTCAAATTGTTTGGTTTCCTCATCAAGACTAAGTTCGCTGTGACCATTTGCTTTAGCTTTTTTTTGTTGTTCTTGAGTCAGATTATTTCAAAGGGTGGGAGGAAAATGGATTTTGTAATGAGCAAAGGAGGAAAAAACTGGAACTTTTTCTATGGGATCATCAAAACTATACTTTTCTTTATCAGCCATCAAGTAGTCATCCGCTCAACTTTTAGGTTCTCTTTTTCAATGAAATTTTTTCTTTCTAATTATCTCTTCTTCCTTTCTTTTTTGTTCTGCTTTTTCCTCAGTTCTGGCCTGTTGATTCTGATCCGCTAAATGTTTTTCAGCCTGGATTAATCAATTAATACCCTTTTCTAGTTCCTCTTTCATACTCTCTAAGGCTTCTTGCTGAGGAGTAGTTCCCTTAGTTCAGTTTAGATAACTTTGTAATTTAGTTAATTGGCTACTATATTCTGATGGTTGAATGTTTTGTAGTTTGTTAATGTCAGTTTGAATTTGCATTT